GGGGAAACCTCCCCCAGGAGGGGCCACAGCAACCAGGGACCCCATCCTGCTGGCCCCACAGGAACCCCCAGTGGGAGCAAAGGGAAAGGGGGGCAGGTGAACCCTCTGGCTTTGCCACCTTCCCCGGGAGGGGACCAAGCTGGCTCCCCTGGGGGCGAGGCCCCGCAGTGCCCTCAGCACGTCCAACCCCCCGGCTCCCTCCGTGGCACCAGCTCGTCCCTCTCCCCCCGGCCGGCTCCTCGCTCAGCCCCTGGTGCTGGCCCCGACTTGCTGTTGAAATGCCAAGTGTGTTTTGAGAACATCCAGGTTCACCTCGCTCCTATTAAGCCCCGCTGGGACTCCAGCTCGCCCCTGCCCCGTCCCCAAGCCCCTCCCCGGGGCCACAGGGCAGCGAGTGACAGGGACCTGCTGCCCGAGGGACACGTACGTACGGGCAGGGTGCAGGGTGCTGTCAGTGGGAAAACCAGCTCCAGAGGCGTCCCACCACCTCTTTTCCTGCAGCTGCCCCTCCACGGGGAGTGGGGAAGGACCCCAGGGAAGTCCCAGCGGGGTGGTGCCCAGCCACAGACCCCCCCTGCTCGTGCCAGGGTCTCGCCTGCCCCCATCCAAGGGCATCACCCGGCCAAGGCACAGCCCAGCTAATCCCAGCCCCTTTTTCCATCACGAGGGGAAAGAAAAATTCACCTTGGAAAGCTGCCGTGGGACGGAGCTGGCAGGGAGGGCTGGCAGGAGGGGGCTCTCACCTCCTTCTCTCCTCACTGCTCAAGTCCAAGTGTCCCCACGTCCGCTCGCCTTGGTCCGGCCTCCAAACTGGTGACAAATGATGTACCCAGCCATGGGGTGCTGAGGGTGGGGGACCTCCCACCTGCTTTTTGGCAGCCCCAGGAGGGACCCCTGCAGGGAGGGTGCTGAGCACCTCTCTCCTCTCCCCCTAGGAGACGTCCACGTGGGCATGGCCGACCGCAACGGGCAGCTGGAGGTGGATGTGATCCAGGCCAGGGGACTCATCCCGAAGATGGGCTCCAAGTCCATCCCGGGTAGGTGGCTGGGGAGGGAAGGGGTTGGAGGTGGAGGGGGGGTGATGGGGATGGGCACCCTGCCCGGACCACCGCAGGAGCCTGCTCAGAGTCCTTGTTTCTTGCCCGTTTTCCACCACAGCCACCTATGTGAAAGTGTACCTGCTGGAGAACGGCGTCTGCCTGGCCAAGAAGAAGACCAAGGCGGTGAAGAAAACCTGTGACCCGTCTTACCAGCAGCCTCTGCTCTTCGAGGAGAGTCCCCAGGGCAAAGTCCTGCAGGTGACGTGCTCCCTGCGTGGATTTGTGGGGACAGGGAGGGGTTTGGGGAGCAAGGACAGGGGAGCAAAGGAGGCTCAGGGGAGAACTTCTGGCTCTTGACAACTCGCTGAGATGAGGATGGAGCCAGGGGGGGTCAGGCTCTTCTCACAAGGAACAAGGGACAGGATAAGAGGAAACCGCCTCAAGT